CCCCGCAGAAAACTCTACTTATTTTTATATAATAGATAAATTATAATTTAATGAACTACTCTTTCTCAGCCGCCGCAACAAAAGTTGGGCTATTTATGAATACTGCCAATACTACACAGGCACATAAGCGGATAAACATATACATATATATATATATATATACATACTTATTATATAAGGTTGTCAAAAAAGTCTTGCGGTATTTTCATTGAATTTTCAATTGTTCATAAAATTGGTTATAATAGTGCGATTTAAGTCAAATATGCGCCGTTTTGTTCGATGACGAATTCCCAACGAGATGCCAACTTCATAACGCTCCTCTTATAGAAGCTCGCTTCCCTATTGGCAAAAATCTCGAAGAGCCAATTTTCAAAGGACTCTCTTGTGTCCAACTTCCGATTACCAAGCTCGTTCGCCATGGACCGAAATAGGTGGTAATCACTTGGTGCAAGATCCGGACTATACGGTGGATGCAAAAGAACCTCCCACCCGAGCTTCGGAAGCTTCTGGCGCGTCACCAAAGACGTCTGTAGCCTAGCGTTGTCCTGATGGAAGACAATTCGGCTTCTGTTGATCAAAGATGGCCGATTTTGCTTGAGTGCTGCATTCAAGCGGTCCAGTTGTTGGTAGTACAGGTCCGGATTGAGCGTTTGACCATAGGGGAGCAGCTCATAGTGGATGATTTCCTGCCAATTCTACCAAACACACAAAAGAACCTTCCTGGCCGTCAATCCAGGCTTGGCCACCGTCTGGGCAGCTTCACCGCTTTTCGACCACGACTGTTTGTGCTTCACGTTGTCGTAAGGGACTCACTTTTCATCGCCAGTCACTATCCGCTTCAAAAAGGGTCGATTTTGTTGCGATTCAAAAGCGATTCGCATGCATCCATTCGGTCAAAAATGTTTCTTTGCGTCGAGTCGTGTGGCACCCATACGTCGAGCTTCTTTTTGAATCCAAACTTCTTCAAATGGTTTATAACGGTTTGATAACTCATGCCCAGCTCTTGGCCGATGCTACGGCTGCTACAATGCCGGTCTCTTTCGATCAATTCAGCGATTTTATCGCAATTTTCGACGACAGGCCTTCTGGAGCGTGGCGCATCTTCGACCACCTCTGCACCAGAACGAAAACGTTGAAACCATCGTTGTGCGGTGGAAATGGAAACTGTATCGAGTCCATAAACTGCACAAATTTTATTGGCAGCATGAGATGCATTTTTGCCTATATCGTAGTAGTACTGTAAAATATGCCTATTTTCTCTTTATTTTGCTCAATGTTTGCGGCGCTATAACTCACGAACGACTAAAAACAAACAACCATAAATCAAACAAATGTTAGCGCCTGAAAAGAGCTTTCCAAAAAGGTCTAATGTAAACCGGTGCGACGAATAAAACTAGAACTACGCGCTTGCAAAGACACCTAGCGAAAATACCGCAGGACTTTTTTGACAACCTTATATACCATCTGAAAGGTATTGATGTGTAGATCATATATATACATATATATTGGATCTGGCTTCTACGGATCAAAAGATAAATAGATTCAATCTTTATTTTCAATTTTTAAAATAAAAGTTATCGAATAATTCTTATTTTTAAATTTATATAATAACAAAAAAGGAAGCTAACTTCGGCACGCCGAAGTTTGTATACCCTTCCAGATTGGTTTCGATGTTTATATTATAGATTTAAATGCTGAAAACACTCACAAAACAGAGCTTCATTACATTTTACCTATACTTATTATGTTTACAGTTTGACAGTTACAGTTTTACATTCCCAGCCTTACATTTTCTCTACATCTACCGATCGCTTTTATGGCAGCTATATGATATAGTTGTCCGATTTTTATAAAATTTATACCATAATTCTAGAATAATAAAAAAAGCATATATCTCAGAGTAGATAAACATACGTTGAAAAACAACGAAGCTATAATTTTTTTTCCTATTAATTTCCTGATCGTTCCTATGGCAGCTATATCACATAGTCGTCCGATTTTCATAAAATTTTTATTCAAATTCTGAAATAATATAAAATGGCAATATCTAAAAAATGGTGCAAAAATGTTGAAAAACAGCAAAGTTATAATTTTTTTTCTACAAATATATCGAACATTTATATATATATATATAATATATCGAACATTTTTATATAGTCGTCCGATCCGGCCCGTTCCGACATATATAGCAGTGAGAGCATATAGAAGACTATATGCAAAGTTTCATTCAGATAGCTTTAAAACTGAGGGACTAGTTTGCGTAGAAACAGACAGACAGACAGACGGACAGACAGACAGACGGACAGACGGACATGGCTATATCGATTCGGCTGTTGATGCTGATCAAGAATATATATACTTTATAGGGTCGGAAACGACTCCTTCACTGCGTTGCAAACTTCTGACTGAAATTATAATACCCTGCAAGGGTATAAAAATTGAAAATAAAAGTTATTGCGTAATTTTTATATAAAAATTGATATTTAATTTTATTAAAAATCAATTTTTTTCGTAAAAGTTAAAAAAATAACTTTTATTTTGAAATTTTTTGCTTTTTTAATTATAACCGTTATAGTTCCTGGTCTAAAATGATGAATCATCAATGAATAAAAATTCATCGATCGAATTAATCAACAACGCCGAAGTGATGAATAGTACTGCAGTGTAGTTGTCTAGCACACTCCGTTGCTAACGGTAATACGTGGACGGTATTTCAAATTTGTTTGCTTAAGGGGGGACATCTGAGTAACTTTTTTTAAAAATCGAAAAATTTTTGTTTTTGCTTAATAAATACTTTAGGGTCTTAAAAATAACATATCAAAAGATAGAGTCCGGCAAAAGTTTCTAAGTGTCGAAATTTTCCATTCTGCGGCGATGCCTCACATGTAATCATATACGATTTTAAAACTTTAAACGCGTTTTTCTCAAAACCACTTTTTCTGAGTTGGCCGAAAACATAACTCGAACAAATCTTAACCGATCGATCTGAAATTTTGACAGTATATCCAAAATACCTATGGCTATCGACGTACGTAGGATTTTTTTTTTTTCTTACTTTTTTTTTTATCAACAATTTTGTGACTTTTTTTTCATGAAAATTGAACTTTTTATTTAATCACTCACCATTTTGCAAAAAATCAAAATATCGAAAAAATCATACGTGCGTCGATAGCGGTTGAGATATAGAAACTAACAAAATTTGATTTTTTGTTCTAGATCAAAAACTAAGGAGTTAGGTTTTCGGCCATGGACCCCTTTCAAAAAAATAGGGCCTACGAAGACATGCTGCACAGCCGCCATTTTGTTTTCGATTTATTAACAAAAAAATGTATTTTGTTCTTCACATCTAACATTATCAAACCTACTTTTAAAATTTTCGATTGGCTTTTTCATTTGGCCAAAAAAAATTCTAGAAAATGGGCTTTTTTTTTGCCAGTTACTCAGATGTCCCCCCTTAAAGCAGATCATAGCTAAATTGACGAAGTTATGCAGAGTTGAAAGAAGGTCGTTTGGTGATCAATGTATAAGAATCAAAAAGTTTAAATCGCTCTCTTGTAAAGTGCCATTTTAAAAGTCAGTGTACACGATAACTCAAAATCTACTAAACCAATCGTTTTGGAATTTGGAACATAACTTTTTTCTTCTACAAGTACTCACGTCGAGATTTTTTAAAATTTTAAATGTTATTATATTTTTGATTTAAGCAATAAACTTAATTTTGTAGTCAAAATCGGGGTTTCGACTTCCGATTTTGACAAAAAAAAAAATAGGGAAACAAATTAAAAAATAAAAACGTGAGTACCTCGGAACACTTATCCTTAAACGAATGCAATAAAATTGTTTGATATCAGATGTTTTTGTGGATGTCCACCGAAAACCAACTCTTTCTGTAGGGACTCAGAAGATTCGCTATTAGTCGTATATTTTTATACAAAAATTAAAAAAAAAATTCTTTAAATGTTGTGTGATTATATGGTATTCTATATATATATAATTCATTAAGCTAACTTTAGCCGGTTCGCCGCAACATTTTTTTTTTTAAGTGGGTAGTTTTGCACCGAATTAACCTTACCCTTGCTTAAAGCAGTTTTGCTTAAGGGGGTCTTCTCATTGGGCAACTTTTTTTTTTGGTTTTTTTTTTTTTTGCATTTATTTTTAGCTTGGGATGGTGTGTATATGTCTCCAAAAGGATTTTTAGAAATTCGAAATACTTTAGAAGATACAGCCTTTTTTGTGAAGCAAGATCTATGCAAAATGAGCCTTTTTTCAAACTTCAAACGCGTTTATCTCGAAACCACATTTTTCGAACTGGCGGCCATGATATCTCCAGTTCAACTGAACCGATTTTCATGAAACAAAATGGAATCGACGCAGAATTGATGTCATTTTCGGCTGACGGAACAGATTTTTTTTTAAATTTTTTTTTTACACTAAACTACAAAAAAAAACGCCCGAAATCGAATTTTTTTTTTTGAATGGCCGCCATTTTGTTTTAAAAATTTTTTAAAAAAATCTGTTCCGTCAGCCGAAAATGACATCTATTCTGATTATAACCCCGTTTTTATTTTTCATTTCGGACGTTCTGGAGACCCTGAATCGTGGCCGCCAGGACGGCGCCTTTTTTTTCGACCACCAAGTTTGAAGTCTCATTACTCTTTGAACAACCCTCGTATCGAGGCAAGAACAACTTTTTTAGTTACTTTGAACATTTTTGAATACAATAAATAAAAAAAGTTTTCAATTATTCTTTGCGTTTTCAAATAAGAATTTTTTTAAAAAGGGTCCAAAAAACGGCTTTTGAATGAGAAGACCCCCTTAAGAAAATGGTCCAACATTAACAAGTAAACTTCTTAAATATTGTTTTGTTGTTGGTTGTGACTCGCTTAAGGATGACATATAAAAAAGAGGGAAAAGAAGGAAGGTTGAATAAGCTGTGATCCACTGTATACATTTCCAGTAAAACTAACTAAAAATTAAATTTTTAGCACCCCTGACTGTAAAAGGTGAAATGATAAACCAGGTTGCAGGTTTAAGTAATAATCGCAGTTTCTGTAATGTGTAATTATACCACTAAATTATTAATAAAGATCGCTGCTTTTTGCACACAATTTTATGTTTTTCAAAGTAGAAAATAGTATATGGTGGTGGTGCTCATCCATTGGGAGCCATTTCCCCAACGGCTGAGTGTCCTTGTCAGCTCCTCACGCCGCTCTTGCGCCGCCGTTGTCGTCCACTCGCGATGCCGTTCCCGTCGCACCGATCGGTATCGTTGGCTTCACCGTCCGCATCTGGGACCGTGGTCTCAAACGTCTCGTCGTCAGGCTAAATACCTCGTCTGACGGGCTTTGGGGCAAACAGGACCTTGGCTGGCTTGCACAGCTCGAGTTCACTACCGGGACGAACGGCCAGGCAGAGCTGGATCTCTACTAGCGAGGCTTCCGTCCAAACGCTGTGCGAGAGCAGAATGGTTGTTCGCAGGCGCACGTTCGTCTCGTGCTCGCCCTGCTCCGTCATTATGGGCTTAAAGTCACTCCTCTTTGGCACCACCGTGTGTATGTGTTGATCGGGATACTTAATCTTGATCCGCATATCCGCCTTCTGAGACTCCAGCAGGTTATCGATCTCTGCCACAAAGGGCACTGCCGCTATCAGGCCCGCCGTTACCTTGATCACATTATCCTGCGACTGAAGCGGACACGGTTCCAGGATGTTGGCCACACAGCGGCGGATGTTCTCATTGGCAGGCGGCAATGCCAAGGGAGGCGCTTGTTGGACCAACGGCAGGATTTCGCGGAAGACGCGACCGGGCTTGGGATCCGATATCGCATCAAGCTTGCTTAGCAACTGGAGCGTGAAGCAGTCCGGTAGGGCATCCCGCTTAGACGCCTCTGTCTCTAATTTCTCGCCCTCCGTCAAGGGTATTGGCACTCCCAACGACAGCTCCTCCTCGTCTTTCGAATTCGCATTAATAAACTCGCCGATGTCGCTGGCAGTTTGCAGCAGCATCTGGCAGGGACCCAAGGCACTTTGCGATCGATCTCTGACGACCAGGACCAGGTGGAGGGCGCTCGCCCGCAACCTTAGCTGCTTCACCTGCAGTATGTCGCCATAATTGAGACCAGAGAATGTGTGCTGCAACTTAAGACAGTTCCGGATGAGCGCCGCAAGGGATTCCTTTAGTGGAATTCGGCTTCGTTGCGTGCTAGCGCAGCGCTGCATCTGCTCGATTTGGATTTGGGCGGCCAAAAATGTCTCCAGGAAATTCGAGGTGCCGTACATGTCAGCATCGATGGCTCCAAGGCGCTAAAAAACATTTTATTGTTACTTATTATTATTATAATAATATAATAATATAATATAATTTAATGAACTGGTGAACATGGGAACTGCGTCTAGTCCCCTTATGTATAATCAAAAGCTATCGTAATCACCTGCAGATTGAACTGGGCGGTCTTCAGCAGTTCTACGCGCTCATCGGTCATCATAAAGATCTCCTCGATGTGGCTAAGAATCATTTGAAGGTACTCCGCCGAGCTGCCTGCCTGGCGCATGGCCAAGTCGATCCTGTGTGTGGCACTTGCCGATGAGGCACCCTCGATAGGCAACTGGGGCACCAGATGCGGCATGGAGTCGCGCAGGTACGCATAGTGGCGGTGTGTGGCCGTAGGCAGAAGACTAATGATGGGCACTAGGTGCTCCGCCGCATTGAAGACCAGAATGAGGACGCACAGGTAAGCTGGGTCCTCCACGTCGCGCTCCGGCGTCTCGAAAAACGGATGCACGTACAGCAGATGCACGGCCACTGCCATGACCAAGTGCGGATGCTTTTGCCCAATTTTGCGCATGCAAGCATACGTAGAGTGTCGGTCCTGCGGATACTTGGCAAGCACGTCTAGCAGCTTCTGCACAACCATCAAAAGGCAAGTTTGGGTGGAAACACGGCAGGCGCCAAGCATCAGATGCAGCCCCTCACGGACGTCTACTGAGTAGTCCTCTAGCGAGCTTAGCATTATTTCCAGCTGATCCTCCCTTAGCACTATGTGCCTGGCAATGGCCGTCAGGCTGTAGATGGCTTTCAGGCGCACGTCCTCGATTTCGTCGTTGAACATATCTACGAGGAAGTCCAGGCTGGTTACTGCAAAGTCCGGCCGCGACAGAGCCAGCTTGCACATGGAGGTCACGGCTGCAGTCCGCACTTCCAGAAACTCATCCTCGAGGCCGTGAATTAGGGCGCCACAGGCTCCGCTTGCAATAATGGAGATGCTCCTGGCGTCCAAGTGTTCTTGCGGGGCGTCGTCCGCCCATCGCTTGCCCGAGGACCACTCGCCACTGGTCACCAGACGGGCGCCTCTCTCGTGCGCCGTGCGCTTCCTTCGCAGGTTGCTCATTAGTTTCTTGTCGAGCGTTTGGTGCAGAAACTCCCTGCTGACGGCGGTCATGCCGCCCAGTAGCTCGGCTGCCAGCACCCGGATCTGCAGCGAAAGATCGCACAAGGCCTCGCACACCTTGCTGAATGCGGCGTCTATCATGCGCAGGTCCTCTTGCTGCCGATCTGAGGGGATTATGTAGTCTGGATGCCGGTTCCCCAGCATGAAGACCAGCCGCAGAGCCTCCTTTCGCACGCACTCGTAGTCATCCTTCATTGCCTCGACGGCGCGCTTGTAGAGCACGGCCGGCAGCTGCGAACCGCGCTCACCGAGGGACAACAGGGCGTGCAGGGCCTGGGCGCGCACTCCCGAGTCTTGCGAATCGATATAAAAAGCCAATTTCCATACATAGTGGCGTTCGCCCTCCATTTTCGTGGCGAACCGACCAATGACCAGCATGGCGTTCTTTTGCGTGTGCGTGGAGCCCGAGCGCAACTGCTCCTTGGCCAAATGCGCCACCTGGGTGTTGTAAGCCGTGGGGACCATGCTCTTGCGCCTCTGGCCGATTCTGTACAGGCACATCATGCCCTGGGCCAACACCTTTTGGGAGCTTTCCCTGCGAAGCAGGTAAATGAAGTGGTCGATGATGAGGGTAACCGCTTGCTCGGTGGCGCCTTCACAACCCAGCCCCGACAGTAGCTCCAGCAGCTTCACCCGAATTGAGGTGTCGCTGTCGCGCTCCTGCAGCTGATATAGCTGCATTATCTTGGCAGCGGCCTCCTTTAGTTCTGACAGATCCACGTCCTGGTAGGATATCTCGTCGGTTATCTTTACTAAGATGTCCAGCAGTTCTCTGCTGTTTGTGACCGCCACATTGGAGGTAGCGCTTGGAGCGGGTGCATTGCTACAGGCCGACGTCGCTGCGACTGGCGGCGGCGGCTGCGCTCCAGGGCGCAGAGCAAGGCCTGTCGCAGGCGGCGCATTGCCCATGTATGCGTCTAGCTGAGACAGAGCCTGCAGCTTCCGATCTGCAATCGCAGTTTTTCCACCTTTACTAGTCTTTGCATCCGCGACAAATGTCTGCAGTCGCAACTTCTTCACTGGCCCACTGTCCACTGTTTCCAAATAGGAGCCGAACGTCTTCTTGATGGCCACAGCCATTATCCTGAAACGTAGTGCACTCTTTGCAGTGAAACTTGTGAAATAAAATCTACCAGGTGCAAATCCAGAACCGTTTATACGGTAGAGCTGTACAAACCTCGATAGTAATATCGATAGTATCGATTGTAGCTGTGCTGAGCGATCCCTTGATTTTTTTTCCACCATCGATATATCGCGTTGTGCAAAAAAGAAATTAAAAATTAAAATTATAGAAACAATTGACAAGTTTTTGTCAACAAAGGCAGGTATATTATTGGTGTACGTATAATTCAAAATGATGCAAATCAAATTTCCAACGAACGGATAATATATACTTTTTATACCCTTGCAGGGTATTATAATTTCAGTCAGAAGTTTGCAACGCAGTGAAGGAGACGTTTCCGACCCTATAAAGTATATATATTCTTGATCAGCATCAACAGCCGAGTCGATCTAGCCATGTCCGTCTGTCCGTCTGTCCACCTGTCCGTTTCTACGCAAACTTGTCCCTCAGTTTTAAAGCTATCTGAATGAAACTTTGCATATAGTCTTCTATATACTCTCACTGCTATATATGTCGAAACGGCCGGATCGGACGACGATATCATATAGCTGCCATACAAATGTTCGATAAATTTTTAGAAAAAAAATCATAACTTTGCTGTTTTTTAATATTTTTGCACCATATGGCCATTTTATATTAATTCTGAATTTTGCTAAAAATTTTATGAAAATCGGGCGACTATATGATATAGGTGCCATAGGAACGATCGGGAAATTAAAAGGAAAAAAAATTATAGCTTCGTTGTTTTTCAACGTATTTTTATTTACTCTGAGATATAGGCTTTTTTTATTGTTCTAGAATTTTGGTATAAATTTCATAAAAATCGGACAAATATATCTTATAGCTGCCATAGGAGCGATCGGTAAATGTATGAAATATATAAAGCTGGGAATGTAAAACTGTAACTGTCAAACTGTAAACATAATAAGTATTGGTAAAATGTAATGAAACTCTGTTTTGTGAGTGTTTTCAGCATTTAAATCTATAATATAAACATCAAAACCAATCTGCAAGGGTATACAAACTTCGGCGTGCCGAAGTTAGTTTCCTTTCTTGTTTTATTTTGTAAGCAATAATATTACGGACGATTTTAAGATTTTCTTTAATTTATATTCAATAATATTATTTAATCGATAATATTACATAAATATGTATATATTATTAAAATACATAAATAACTGAATATCTTACACAATTTGTTGTTTATTTTTTAATCTTTAAATTAAATAATTTTTTTTTATTATTATATAGTTTTTTATTTGTGTATTACAGAAAATTTTATACAATTGGCAGCATACTAAATTATTGCTAAATGGGGGTTTTTAAATTGGTTTCAATTGTTTCAAATTATTACATTTAATAAAAAAAAGGTTATTTCAAATAATTTTTTTTTTGTTTTTTATTTTTTTGCTGCAGCTAGGTTATTCAATTTAAATGTTTTGCAGAAAATAGATTTACGTTAGGGTAAAACAGCGCTTCATAGAAGTGAAAGAGAGCGAGAGGCAAATGTATTACCCTCTCGCTCTGTCTTGTCAATTGCTAGAAGCATATACAGTGGCTCCAAGCTTATTTCGTGCAAGAATTATTAACAATTTTAAATCGGCCCTGGCGGATAACTAACAAAGATATCTCTAAAATTTAAACGCAGTATTATGGAGAAACACTTTGTTTATTTAACTAACAAAATTTTATTTTCCTAATCTTTAAAGTAAATTAAAAAATTAAATAAATAGAAAAAATGTGACAATTCTCACACCCAAGCTTATTTCGTGCAAATATTTTAAAAACAAAAAACAGCTATTTTAGACTTTAAAATCAAAATTTTTTTTCTATATTACTTTTTTAAGTACTAGTCAATACATATTTTATAGGTTTTAGATGCTGGCCCTACATATTTAAGGATATATACGAAATTCTTTGTGGCAGTACCATGTACCATGAGTGATCAAAGGAAATTACTCCAAAATCACTTTAAAAGTGACAAATATCATCGTGATTTTTCCGATATGGTTTCCTTACCCCCACTGCATTCCATTACATAATTAAATCATTTGTTTGTAGGAATTTGGTGGCAGATTGGGGTCGAGATAGACAAATACTTATAAATTTTTCAGTGAGCTGTGGTGTATTATCCTTATAATAAAGGAACAGGAGATACTTTCAGTTCCCAAATTAGATGCATTATATTGAGCACGAAATGTGTAACAAATGTAGTGTGAATTAGGTGCGCCCTATGTTGCAGGATCACATATTAAGAGGTCAAGTAGTATCAAAACAGCCATTTATAAGCAAACATTACAGCAAGGATCGTCTAAAATCTGCATAGAAGGTTATAATTCACTCGATTTTCTTTCGGAATGATTTTATCCTTACATATAAGTATAAAATTAGCCAATTTAGTTTTGGATAGACTAAAATATGTGCTGTGGTGACTGAATTCCGGACTGTAAAATAACCACCTCAATGCATTTGTGAAGCAAGCCGGATTCATTCCATTGTTGGGCTTGTATGGCGTCAATTGGCGTGACGAAACAATTTTTTTTCAATGAAATAATAAATGGCGATATGTTTCCTTAAAAATTAAAGAAAAATTTGCTTAAAATGGCAGAAGAACTGCGCCTACGGGGTCGTTTTTGGTAATATCAGACTTAGATCATACGTGCTCGGCAGGCTTTGTGAGGGCGTGGCTCGTCTGGAAACGAACAAAATTTATAAAAAACATTACAAAAATCAACATTTTGAAGTGTTACTACAAATTTTAATCAAAAAGTAGACTCAGTCATTATAAAAAAAGAGATAAAATAAATATTAACTCAAAAGTGCTATAAGGAAATAATGGCTTTATAGTCTAGTAGAAACATACATATATAAATAAATTTTGTTTTTCGTATATAATATTTTGAAAGTTGTTAAAGAATAAAGAAAGGTAAAAAAAAATATAGTAAAATCTAAAAATAAAAACGTTATTTTATATTTTCTGAACTGCACGAAATAAGCTTGGGTGTGAGAATTGCACTCTTTTTCCTATTTATATGATTTTATTATTTGTTTTAATTATTAGAAAAATAATTTTATGTTAATTAAATAAACAAATACTTTCTCTAACATACTGCGTTTAAATTTTTTAAATATCCTTATTAGTTTAGCGGCAGTGCTAATTTGAAGTTGTTGTAAATTCTTGCACGAAATAAGCTTGGAGCCACTGTATAATATTTTGGGAATTGGACAAATGAGGGAAATAGTAAAAATATAAATGAGGATGCTGTAGGCCATCATGGATAATGTGGGAGAGCTCCACAGTACGTTTATTGCCTTGCCAATCTCAAACATCTCGATGCACCTGGCTCAGGTTGTTCAACTTTCAGGCATGTCCAATTCGCCTTCGTGGACTCATGTTGGATTGCATTAGTTTCTGATTGCCAGGTTTATCCGTGGCTGGGTTCGTTGATGGAATTCATGGAGTGTACCACTAGTCCTCGCACGTTCCTTCTGGAAGCGGATACTGATCCACCACTGCCTATATGTAGAACTCATATCCAATCATCCGAGTCCCTTATCCTGGTTCTTCATCGCTGTCACCTTGAGGCGACTGGGAATTATTTAACACGGCTACCGCCTCAGGGATGCTTGGCAGTCGCTGATTGACAAATATTATTCCAAAACAAAGCATACCGGGACTTGTTTTCAAATAGGAGGTTGTAAACAATGTATGACCGCGTCATTTAAGCCTAGTACTCTGACGAGAAAAAACCGCTGTATAAATTTAGACAGCGGCCAAACTCCATATAAAAAAACGAAAAAAAAGAAGAAGAACTTTTAGACACGTCGTTTTTTTCGGTACTCTGACGACGAAAATGAAGCCTGCGAAAATTGAATGGCGTTGCCAGATCAAGATAGTAAACAGCTGATATCGCGCTGTCTAAATAATTTAGACACCCCCAATGGAGGGAAAGTTGAAGGAAAAAGGTGGCATTGATAGGGGCTGTCAAGGGGAAGCCCATAATATGGAATTTAACCCACAAAGGACATTTTAATGCCATATTTATTAATATTTTTAATATTTTTTTGAATATTTGTTTACAAACAGCTGTCCAGTGTGACCAAGGAAAATCCTTAAACGCCATAAAAAGTACATTTTCATGGAATTTCCTTAATTTTTTTGGTCACACTAGCTCGGTAGCGAAATAAACAGCAATTCTGCTGTCTAATTTAGACAGCGGGTTTTTCTCGTCAGAGTACTAGGCTTTATCCTCAAAAAAAAAAAAATACTAAATATTTTTCCGCTGCGAAACAGTTTTACCCTCTCGATTCAGAGCTTACGGCTATGACACTAGATTATACAGGCCTGCTCCGGTAATCGAAAACGGCAAGATTTTTTCGTTTTCGTTTTTGAAAACGAGAAATTGGTGCTCCGGTAATCGAAAACGAAAGATTTTTTCGATTTGAAAAACGGGCACCTATTTCTGGCCGGAATTAAAAGTAAATGGCTTTTTTTATATGAAATCAGATCTTATTTACAAAAGGAAAAAAATAGTTTACTCAGTGGTCTATTGATGTTTATTCCACACCACCACAAGATTATTCTGGCACGTAGTTATTTAAAAAAAAATTTATTTCTGACCCCACCTCAGATTTGACAACAAAATTTTTGCCGTGTTCAACCAGTTTTCTCGTTTTGGCGATAGGTCGATAAGTTCACCGCAAAAAGTTATCGCCAAGGTTGCCATATTGTTGGTGGAACGAAACAGCCAGTTAAAAATACTTATAAAATTTAAATGAATACATTTATAACTTTAAAGGACCGCCAAAATGGTTGTTTATAATTAATGCTATTTAATGTGATTACTTAAATAGTCCAAATAAACCAAATAATTATTTGAGACCACCGGAATTAAAACTGTGAAAAGTGTGGCAGCATCTTAGGTGCCTAGATTTGCTTAACTCTACCAATTTTTGCCTTTTTCTGGCTTATAAAAAGGGCAATTGTAAATATAATAGGCAGTACTTTATGTTGTTTGCTTATTACCAAAAACACAAGTTAGC